TCACATTTTATATATAAAATATAAAACATTACTTTTTTCCAACCAGCGACATCTCTTACAGGAGGTCCATCTGAATTAAGGTCATCATCCAGTTTTCTCTACAATTTTTTGGCGCGTCGTTTCGCATTTGAACTCTACAACTGGCCCCTTGCCAAATCGCTGTGTTGCACCATAAAATCTACTAAAGTTTGGAACTGACGGTGCTGAGTCGTCAACTGTAACTTTTTTTTGGCTTTCACCCAAAATAATTATCAATTTAGATGTAAATAAAAACTTTAATTGTGCTTATTTACATGTTTCGCTTCATTTGCGTTTGCTATTTTGTTAACGCAAGATATTTGCGTTTAACGAACGAGTTTGACATGCGTTTTCGTATTACAGATTGCGGTGATGCCACATTTGCGTAAAGTAGATGCGAAAGGAGATACGAAAACGAATTAGAGAGTACCAATTACGCGATGAGATAGAATTTTTCTTACGCATCGCAATACAGAGTAACCCCCCTGAACCGATTTTTCTCAATTTTACTAGGGTTCGTCCTTAGGCCAATTAAATGAACTGTGCCAGATTTCATCCAATTCGGATCAGAAATGCACTTTACGGACATGCATAAATCGACTTAGGAAGTGATTCTATACATATTCTCAAAAGGAACCATGTCTCGATCTCGTTTCTTTTTTGCCTGTTACAAACATATGCACAAAGACATAATACTCTCTACCACAGTGTGGTGATGGATATAAATATAAAAGCATTATAAACTGCAATATTGGATGCGTTGTTGGTCCACTCGATGAAACAACGTCTATATATTATTATTAAAGTATAAATTTAACATTTACACAGTATACGTTAATAAGAAAATTACTAAAAAATTGTTTATTAATAAAAAAATGGAAGAAGTTTGTTATTTATTCAATATGTAAACTGATTCTTGGCATATTGTTCATGTTCGCATATGATGTCAAATCTTCATACCAAAAAATTTCAATATCGGTTTACGTTTTGATATAGCTACCATATAATGGTACAGAGCAATTTTCAATATGTTGAAGATTAAAGCCGCATTTTCTAAATGTAATTTGAATGTAATTTGGTATAAAGGGTTCTTAAAGGCTCACATACATGCATACATATACAGAAATTTTTCAAAATAGGTCAATTTTGACTTAGCCTCTCTATAGGGCCCATTCCCAGCGTTTTAAATGATATAGCTGCATTTTCCCATTGGTAATTTGTTATTCCGGGATATTGGAGGTTAAAACACCGATTTGCGGAAAACTTTCTACGCAGGTCTATGTTTCAATATAGCCCCTATGTTAAATCCAAAAATAACACGTGGGTTTATGTCCATTCAGAGGTTATGTGTTTTATTGTTAAAAAAGACTGAGGGCTAAGAGATAAAGTTTGGGCTAAAGGAATGATGAAAATAGATTTGCCATATAATATGAATTTAAATACAAAAGTGTAGGGTTATCAGATAAAGCATAACTATAATATTAATAAAGTAATACATAAAACCCCACATAAAGGTCCGGTCCTATTTTCGATACTATGAAGTTTTTATCCAAATTTTATCTCATTGAAATGACATATCGGATTCCGGGTTAATTAACTATTTCTCCATATAACGGTCCTGACAAATTTAAGGAATTTTTATCGAGATCGTGCCAACTCCAAACTATTGCATAGCATAAGTCATGGTTCCCCCGGTCAGAGCTGATATTACACATCATTTATGGGATAAAATCGTTTAGTAAAATATGTGGCAACTATTTAGAGTCTTGTCAAATTTTCTTTTAAAACAATAACGGTACTTTCCATATCCCCAAAAGCATTTGCTTAGTGCAATAAGTGAAATCAAGTATTTTTTAAAATGCCTAGAAAGATCGAAAAATAATAATAACCATGAAATGGGAAAATCCTATTCCGAAATTGGTAAAATGATAAACAGAACCAAATCAGCAGTCCAAAAAGTGGTTAATCGATACAAAAAAGAAAATATAATTGAAAATAAACGGCGATCAGGAAGCTCAACATCAGAGAAGAACGAAAAATTGAATATATTATTAAAAAATATCCATTTACCAGCGCTCCTAAAATCGCTGTAGACTAAAAAGAATCATTTGGGAAAGCAGTTTCAGCAGACACAGTACGTAGGTGCATTTACCAGCGCCCCTAAAATCGCTGCAGACTTAAAAGAATCATTTGGGAAAGCAGTTTCAGCAGACAGTACGTAGGTGCATCAAGAAGTGTGGATTCAATGCTCGCACTGCCCGCAAAAACCACTTGTTAACGAAACAAACAGAAAGAAGCGTATCGATTTTGCAAATGATTATTAAAACAAGACAAATGAGTTCTGGGAAAAATTAATTTTCTCGGACGAATCGAAATTTAAGATATTTGGGTCGGATGGACGCTCTTTGGTGTAGCGGAAAAAAAGGAAGAGCTCAATCCAAAGAATACTCGAAAACAGTAAAGCACGGAGGGGTGGAGTAATGGTATGGGGATGCATGTCAGCAACTGGTGTTGGCAATTTGGTATTCATTGAGGAAATAATGAATAAAACAATTTACATGAATATTTTGAAACAAAAGTTGAATCCAAGTGCTGAAAAACTCAACATTCGTGATAATTATTACTTCCAACAGGACAATGATCCAAAGCACACTGCTTTTGACGTTAACAGCCTTACCTAAAATTCAACTAGCTCGTTCGACGTTTTTCACCACAAAAGTAGAACACATGTATTTATATGAATGTTACCGAAATACGTCGAACGTACAAAATTTAAAGTTGAATAATTTCAACTTTGACAGAACGTATTTTTCACTTTTTATACACTTCACCACACTGTGGTACAGGGTATTATGTCTTTGTGCATATGTTTGTTACAGGCAAAAGAAAACGAGATAGACACATGGTTCCTTTTGAGAATATGAATAGAATCACTTTTTAAGTCGATTTATGCATGTCCGTCTGTCCGTCCGTCCATGTATTTTTGTTAACAAAGTACAGGTCGCATTTGTGATCCGATTTGGATCAAATTTGGCACAGTTCACTTATTTGGACGAACCCTATTGAAATTGGGAAAAATCGGTTTATATTTAGATAAAGCTCCCATATATATTTTCGTCCGATGCACGAAATTTGCCACAACGTACTGAATTAGGTCTAGAATGATGTGTGTTAAGTTTCCTAAAAATCGGTCCAGATTTAGATATAGCTCCCACATATATTTTCGTCCGATTTTAGGTATATAGTGGACCAAAGCCCCTATATATCCTTCATTTGCTCGTAATTTGTCATAGCGTACTAAATTAAGTCTGGAGTGATGTGTGTTAAGTTTCGTGAAAATCGGTTCAGATTTAGATATAGCTCCCATATATATTTTCGTCCGATTTTATATATAGGGCACAAAAGTCCCTATATATCCTTCGATTTGCACGAAATTTGGCACAGCGTACTGAATTAATTCTAGAACGATGTGTGTTAAATTTCGTAAAAATCTGTACAGATTTAGATATAGGTCCCATATATATTTTCGTCCCATTTTAGGAAAATGGTGCACCAAAGTCCCTATATATCCTTCGATTTGCACGAAATTTTGGATTTATAAGTAAATGAAGAGTTCAAAATATGGCCGAATGCAAAAAAAAAAAATACTGAAATAAGTGTAACCTAACATGTGACAAGCTGCTGAAATCGGTTTAGATTTCGATATTTTGCTTAAAATTTATTTACTTAAATTTGTCCCATTGTAAGGAGCAACTCTATATCTGACCTAAATTTAGTATAGCTTGCGGAATGAAATGTTTAATTTAATGTTAATTCTTCAAAAATGCGACGTCGGATTCCATCTGTTGAATATACCCAAAGTGGTGAAGGGTATTATATAGTCGACCCCGTCCGACTTTACTACTTTCCTTACTGGTTTCTTTTGTTGAATACAAAAACAAAACATTCTGGAATTTCGAATGGAAACTAAAAATACGTGGATAAATTTAATAAATTTGAATATTAAAGTTGAATATTTTTGTACGTCCGATTGAGCACCTATAGGATCATCTAGATAAACGAATCCGAAATCATACAATTACCAGTAAGGCCCAACTCAAAGAAATACTTCTGACAGAATGGGGTAAAATATCGTCGGACTACACTAAAAATCTACTCAATGCCCGAACGATTGAATGAAGTTTTAAAGCTCAAGGGATATCCTACCAAATATTAGGTAAGTCCTGATTTAGATTATTCTTGTCCTTCTTTTTTGAACTTGCTTCATGCGTCTATACAAGGCAGTTCGGTTTCCAAAATATTTTTTTATTTGTTGTTTTTTTTTACATTTAAATATATATAAAATTTCAACAAATACGAAATACACAAAACGAATTGCCAGAAAATTGTCGGTACGAGCAATTTTTTTTTTCATTTCTATTCCCCTTGCCTCTCCCACAAACAAAGACTTGCCGCAAGTAAACTCGCCTATTTTAAATTGGGACTAAGTCAATTTAATTGTAAAAATTAGGTAATATTAAATAATTCATTACGTTTCTCCAGGGGTACCAAGACTTACGTTGGCACTATGTCGATTTTGTTTTAATATATAATTGTTGTATAGGATTGAATACATGAAATAAAAATATATTTGAAATTTTGTGAATTACTTTTTGAGGAATTGCTGAATATTTTTTGATTTGTACGGGGTACCATGACTTTTGCTACTCACTGTATCTGTTAAAATTACTTTCTTGGCAAAAATTCAATAGATTCAATCAAAACTATTATTTTTGTTGTTTTCATAACAAAACATTGTTATTTTTATTTATAAATAAAAGAATTTAATTCATTAATGTAAAACTAATACGACTACAAAAAAAGGTATAAATGCATTAAACTTAGTCTATATATTGTTTATTTAAAAAAACAGCTTTCAAACATCACGTACTAATCCCAGCCATAAACGTACTAATCCCATCTATCCATCCATCTACTTCCTCTCTAATATGGAATCTCTTCCAGTAGATTATTTTCAATTATCGTACTATCGACTTTGTAATGGGCTTCACAGAACTCCGCAATACGAGCACAGGCTTCTTCAATCATAGCTTTGGGTACCGTCAAAACGATACGCACAAAATTCGGATATTCAAAACAACTGCCGGGCAGACAGAATACACTCTGTTGATTAACCAATTCCTGGACGAATTGTGTGTCATCTTTGAATTCGGGAAATTGTTCAATGTTAATGCCAACCATCATATACATGGCACCGTTGGGCATAATGGGATTTAGGCCACGAATCTTCTTGAGCATGCCATAGGCAAGATTTGCATTTTCGCTCAATATTTCGATGATACTGTCGAAATAGCTTTGTGGAGTCTTTTCCAGAATATCCGGAATAGCACCTTGCACCAGGGTATTGGAACCCAAAATACGGCCACACAAGTTTTTCAAACCTTGCGTCACTTCAGCCAAACGATTTTCACGATCGTGTATTATTACCCAGCCAGTACGCCATCCTGGTACAATGAAACGTTTGGTGAGGCCACCACATGATAGGACGGGCACATTTTTCGACAGCGAACTGACAGCATAATGTTTGGCGCCGGGGAACACAAAATGTTCATAAACCTAGAAAAAGGATACAAAACACAAAGTTCAATAATTGTGGTTCTTTACTTCTGGATCATGGACTTATCTCTCTCTCTCTTACCTCATCGGCAATAATGGGCAAATAATATTTCTCACATATGGCCAGAATATCCTCCAAATGTTGTTTACTGAATACACTGCCACAAGGATTGCTGGGATTATTAATGACAATGGCTGCGGTCTTTTCATCGATCAGCGATTCCATTTGTTGCAAATCACATTCCCACTGTTTTTCCGGCAAGAGATCATAATAGCGCACCTCGATACCCAGACCTTCGGTCAATGTTTGATATAAACAAAATCCAGGACGTGGTATTAGAATATTTTGACCCTTGTCAGCTAAAGCCAAAATAGAATATTCCAAGGCGGAAGAACAACCACTGGTTATGCAAATATTTTCCGGTTTTATTTCTTCGGAACTCTGGTGGGCACTATATTTGGCAATTGCACGGCGGGCACTTTCATGTCCTTGCGTATGAGCATAACCATTATATTTGCCACTTTCGATGGAATTCAAAACAGCTTTCATTGTCTCATCGGAGGCTTTGAGGTTACCAAATGTTGTGGGATCACCTGGAAAATAAATTGAAAACAAAAAAACTTTTGTTAAATGGAGTTCGGAATAAAGCTTTAAAATAAAGTCAAATAAATTAAAATAAATATTCTTTTCAAAGATCTGGTGCATAGCTCTTTAAATGATCTCCAAAAAATATATCCGAAATATCACTTCGAATCGAAAAAAAATTGTTCTGCAAGCGTCATTAATTAATCGAAGAAATCATTTAAATTCCCCTTCTTTATAAATTTGAAAAGTTTTACCACTTTTTGAGTATGGGTACATACCAAATATTCCATAATTCGATCAGGAGTGTTGTAATGCTATTGATGTGAAAAACGCTGTGTATATGGCAATCCTGCAGACAGTAGCAACACGTAATGCGAGAGAGAATTATTGGGAGAAAAAGAGAGGAGAAACGTATTTTCAAAAAAAAGAAGAAAGAACAAGAAAACCGTGAGCAAATCGAGATGTACAAGAGTCAGAATGAAGTCCGGAAATTTTACCAACGGGTAAAACACCAAACCTAAGGCTTTGGTGCTGGCACATCCTCCTGTAGAGATAAAGATGGAAACCTGGTGGCAGATACAGAGGATCTGGAAGTAGCATTTTGCCAAGCTTCTGGTATTAAATAGTGGCGGTGAGTAAGATACCAATAAATAGAACCAATAACAGATGACGGTATAGATTGTATACCACCTAGCCAAGATGAGGTTGAAGAACAATAAAGCAGCAAGTGCTGATGGAACTATTCAAGACTGGTGGTCAGATGCTGTTCAGAAGCATGAACCAGCTGATCAGTACAATTTGGTTAGAGGAATGCATGCCCATATGTTACTCGCCAACGCCGATGACATCGACATAATGGGTCGAACATTGAGAGCGGCAACAGTCACCTTTGAAAACATTGAGAAGGCGTCTGCTAAAGTGTGACTGGCAGTAAATGGCGAGAAGATCAAGTTGATGGTATCAGCGCGCAAGACGTCCCGTAGACTCGGCCAACTGTGTTGAGAACTGCAGCTTCGATGTAGTCAATGTAGTTATATACCTCGGTATCGCCATAAAAACTAATAACATCAGCTTTGAAATCCGAAGAATAATGGTGTTGGTCAACAGATGCTACTATGTTCTGGGATAGCAATTTAGGAATATGACCACCTCTCGCCAAACCAAACTCACACTCTACAAGACGCTGATACTATGCGTGCTATTGTATGTATCTGAATACTTGCGCAAGCAGATGAGGCAGCACTTGGGGTGTTTGAGAGAAAAATTCTCCCAAAGATCTATGGATCGATCATCGTTGACGGTGAATATACAATACACCAACATGCTGATAACGCCTCCACAAACCCTCGATTTAAATCCGATTGAGCACCTATAGGATCATCTAGATAAACGAATCCGAAATCATACAATTTCCAGTAAGGCCCAACTCAAAGAAATACTTCTGACAGAATGGGGTAAAATATAGTCGGACTACACTAAAAATCTACTCAATGCCCGAACGATTGAATGAAGTTTTAAAGCTCAAGGGATATCGTACCAAATATTAGGTAAGTCCTGATTTAGATTATTCTTGTCGTTTTTTTTTTTTGAACTTTCTTCATGCGTCTATACAAGGCAATTCGGTTTCCAAAATATTTATAGCCTACACAACTATGTTGTCAGGGTATTATAGCTTTGTGCAGCCCAAAATGTTTGTAACGCCACGAAATATAGGTGGGTCTAGGCCACCTTTAAGTATACCGATCGTCATATCTCGACTAGCTGAGTCGATCTAGACATGTGTGTCCGTCCGTCTGTCCATTATATTTTGTAAACACGATACAGGCCGCAGTTATGAACCAATCTTCACGAAATTTTGCATGTAGGATGGGTTCTGGCTAATGAAGACTCGGTTAATATTTAGGGGATGAAATGGACCAAAAACTTTATTTTTGTCGGTTTTTCGGGTCGCTCCAGAGGCCGCAATTATGACCCAAACACCGCGAATTTTTGCATGGAGAAGGGGATCGGGCCAAAGAATAAGCATGCCTATTTTGATAAAGATTGGTCAATATTTAGCGGGTCAGATGGACCCAGACTTTTGTGTGGAAATGACAAAATTTGTATTCTATGGCGTATATATTTACTCCTGAAGGACATAGACCCGAGAAGTTGATAGGATATCCAAGAGGAGTGGTTTACCTTTACATTGACACCAATTGCATTGTCGTGTGCACTCGGATGTGGGAGTTACACTTAAATATTTACAGGTCCTTATTTAAAATTCTAAAAGTCGAAGTCGTCTTTTGTTCTTTGATGTAATCGCAAAGTCGACTTTATAAGATCGACTTTCGATTTTCTTCATTAATTGTCCTAAAACCAAATTTATTATCTGTTAACAACAATTAATCAAAAAATTTTAGTCGATTTTACATTGGCCGGTGAAAGTCGAAAATTGATTTTGAGCAGGTTTGACAAAATTGAAAAATCGAATTTCTAGTCAGAGGCAAATCGAAACGTCTAAAAATCGTTGTTTTTTTACTTTTTCTCTTGACTACGTATCCCTAATGAGGATGCTCCAGTTCAAAAGGCATATAAAAGCGAGCAAACTGATGGTTCACGCAGAAAGTGGAAGCCACGATTCGATGGAAAGATCAAGTGGAAAACAACATTTCGAACGTGGTCTTTCAAATTGTAAAAGCTGCGTACAAGACCGACGTTTTAAAGCTCCACAATTGTTCTGTCTAGAGCAGGTAAGTATTACTAAAAAAATTTGAAAAAAACCTGTTATTTATTCAACGTGTAAACTGATTTTTGACATACTGTTATCAGTTGTAGACTTTTGTTACTGCATGTAATTGAGACCGAAAGTGAGACACTTGATGCCTATGTTTCAATCGAATATAGGTTAGTTTGATTTGGTTCCGGCACATTATACATTGTAAGATTTTTTTAAATTAAGTTACCGATTACATTGTTTTTTTAAGCATAAAAACTACATATTCACTTGCATACATACATCTTTGACGACGTATTTTACATTTTATTCGGTGTACATTGTAATATAATATATGTATGTGCAGTGGCAGTAAAAGCATGAAATGACAAACAAAACCATAAATAACATCATATTTTAGTTTGCGGCTCTGCATCGGCTGTTATCAATCATGCATCTAATGATTAGCATTCACTCGATATTATGTAACATTCGGAAGCTATCACGGGTGTTACAAACACGTACATATGTTATATACTTATTGATTACTTAATTGGCAGATGGGAGATATTAAATTCCATAGAATATAACCTGCACTGGGCCTGCGATGTATATTAAATTTCATAGAATACAATCTGTAACTGTGTCTCTCTTTTCAAAATTTTTTATTCGAAAATTAAAAAATATATATATATATATATATATAAATAATTATTTTTAATAAAAAAAATATGTGCTTTAAATTTAATTTTAGAATTGCAGTATACCCAATACATCACGGTGTGAACTTGTAAAATGAAATAAAAAGAAAAAATGAAACTGTACAAAGGTTGGTAATGTTGTTGACCAACTGGCCGATATTTGTAATGATGAAAACAAGTACAGGTAATACCACATTTTATGCAAATAATATTATAAATTTAAAACCAGTGAGCGGAGCAGTATAGTCGGACGGGGCCGACCATACGATACCCTACACAACTACCACGAACTCTAACTTTCTGAGGATGTTTATTCCGAGTCTGAGTAATATTTCGTGATATTTGCCCCCTCTTGTCCGATTAGAGGTTAACAACACCTCTTCCTTACTTTTTTCGAATATTCAGTACAGTCCTTCTAATTACTTGTCCAGATTACCTTCACGGTGGGTTGTGTTATAATTTTCGGATTATACTCTACTCGAAAACACACAAAAAATTATGTTCTCCGTCCATTTCATCCCAAAATTTTAATCTGATCATCACCGAAAATTATAGGCGTTGTTCTTGACCATAACTGGAACTTCATGAACAATTTCAAAGCCATCAGCGCGATATTTCTCCCTCTAATGTGGTAATGGGTTACTAAATAATATCTGAATACGTAAGCACCTGTAAATATTTGACTGCAACTCCCACATCTGAGTAGATACATCACTATATTTGGTATCAATTTAAAGGCCAACCACTCCTCTTGGATATGCTATCAACTCCTGGGGTCTACATCCTCCAGGAGTAAATATATATGCCATAGAATACAAATTTTGTCATTTTTCACACAAAAGTCAGGGTCCATTTGACCCGCTAAATATTGACCGATCTTTATCAAAACATGCATGCTTATTCTCTGGCCCGATCCCCTTCTCCATGCAAAAATTCGGTGTTTGGGCCATAATTGCGGCCTCTGGAGCGACCAGAAAAACCGACAAAAATTTAGTATTTGGTCCATTTCATCCCCTAAATATTAACCGATCTTTTCCAAAAACAATAGGGGTCTTCATTGGCCAGAACCCATCCAACATGCAAAATTTCGTGAAGATTGGTCCATAATTGTGGCCTGTATCGTGTTTACAAATTATAATGGACAGACGGACGGACGGACACACATGTCTAGATCGACTCAGCTAGTCGAGATATGACGATCGGTATACTTAAAGGTGGGTCTAGGACCAATATTTCGCGGCGTTACAAACATTTGGGGCTGCACAAAAGCTATAATACCCTGACAACATAGTTGTGTAGGGTATAAAAAATGTGTAAACAACAAACAACATTTCGGTATTGTGCAATCAACAATAAGTATGCAAGAATTGTAATATTTTTAGCTGTTCATTCGCAATTGTTATTTTGCTGCAGTTCCATAATTCAATTCTTTTACATTTTACAAATTGTTGACATACATTATTTTGTTCCCGGCGAATACTTATATGCGAATTGTGTTCAATCTTTGGGCCAATGAGCTTGCAAAACTTTGAAATAATGCGGAGATATCATTATAGCCTTCACCATAAATTTTATTTGTCCTTCCTGAAACACCGCGAAATATTCGTCTGAA